TAATAATAATAATAATAATAATAATAATAATAATAATAATAATAATAATAATAATAATAATAATAATAATAATAGAACAGAATAAAGCCTGCTACGTAGAGTAAATTAGGGTGAAACCCGCGTTTATGTTTTTTATTACGTAAAGAGATTTAGGATTTAATGAACATAACGAATTTCGTATAATAATAATAATAATAATTATTATTATTATTATTATTATTATTGTTATTGTTATTGTTATTGTTATTGTTATTGTTATTGTTACTGTTATTGTTATTGTTACTGTTATTGTTATTTTAGTCAATTCTCTAATGTATTTCGCACTTGAGCGAAATATCCGGGATTCACATCCTGGACAAAGACGGGTTGTATTTAGAGAGACTAAAACCTGTACTTCGAAAGTGTTGGTTGTATAATTAGTTATGTAAACTTATTTGTCGAATATTGATAGTACTGCGCCATACTGGAACGCGTCTACAGAACAATTTGTTAAAGACTGGAGAACGGCAGTTGTTAGAATTGTTGTTAAGGACCAAAAGGATTTGGGTAATTGTTGTTTCTTAGCAAAATTTGCGGGGGTTTTTTTCTTTCTTTTTTTAGATTCTCATGTGTGAACCTCCAAAATAATAGAATATGATCCAGTAATTGGAATGGCGACAATTCCTTTAAAAGAACTTCTTGAACAGAAAGGAAAGGTAATACATTATTATCAAAATTTTATTCTCTTATACATAAATGACTTCAATATTTAATCAAAATATAAATAGAAAGGAGCAAAATGGTATCCATTGCGACATGGCGTTGGATGCGGCAAAGTTCGATTGAGTTTCGTATTTAAAAGTTTAGCGATTAATTTATCACCGGAAGAAAAAGGATACGAAGTAGGAACTTTACTTGTGCATTCAATTGTTGCTGAAGATTTAGATCCAAAACTAGCGTGTAAGTGATATCATCTTTATTGTTATATATAGCATTTCCAATATCTTTATTAAAACTAAAAATGAATAAACGACAGGCAATAGTATGTCCTTGACTCTCTCATTATGTGGATCTTTGGAAAGTGAGCGATATACAATATTATCTCACGGTAATCCGCCAAGTTGGCTTGTTACTTCAAATTGTGCAGAAGACCAAAATAGATTGCAATTTGGAGTACTAAGGCGTCACAGAACCGGACTTATAATTACATTGAAACAACGTGGCTTATTCGGAATGACTTACATAGTAGGAAATGCTATCTTTTGGTTAAAAGATATTCGTGATTGTAAAGAAGTTGAAGTAAAGTTACCAATATACACAAAGAGTTCTGAAAATAATGAAAATATTAGTGTATTGCAAGATCAGGCAGTACAAGATAATTTGACGAATATCAATAATAATATTTCTCGTTCTAAAAATGGAAATGTTGAAGACAATCAATCGAATGCGATTGAAGGGTCATCCAAAAAAGTTATTCTCAATACTCTCAATGAACAAGAACAATCACATGAAACCATTTCCAATGAAACTACGTCCAATGAACCACACAACAAAGAAATCATTTACGACGAGCCACAGCAATTATATAAATCTGTTGAATCGAGCAATGTTTCACCAAATGAATTATCTCAGCAGGAAAGATGTCATCGTTTCTCATCTTTGTCAAGCGATACGAAGAAACAGTGTAAAGGTTACCTCAAGGTTAAACTTTATTTCCGACCCGGTTTATCGACGGCTCACGAGGATGATATTAGGAAAAGTTTAACGGGAGTAGACGCAAATATCTTGGAGATTAATCCATTTCAAAACGTTGAAAGAGAAGATGATGAATTTGACATTGAAGAAAGAAGTTTACCCGATGGTACTGAAATGTATGAAAGCGAGATGGGATCAGGACGTCGAATAAATAGAGTCCATCGTCGGAAAAGTATGAGGCAATTTCAATGGGTTAAAGATTTGGTCAGGGCTCAGGTTACAAGAAAAATGACTGGAAAAAAGGATTGGGAAGAACAAGAAATTATGGAACACGAAGTCTAAAAATATAAAATTGAGAGAATCGTGAGCGAGTTATTTTTGTAAAAAACATACATTTTGATGGTTTTATTTTAAAATTTTACATGTAGAGATTATTTAGAATTTATCCTGGTAGCATGTATTTTATAGCATTTATCTTTCATAAAAAAAAAAAAAAGGTATAAAAATTTATTCATATGAAATTTTTTCAATAAAGATCTTAACTTATCGGATTTCCTTATGTCAAGAAAATGATCTACATCCGATGTAACACACAATTTTGATAATATTATATATATATAT